GATGCCGGTGTTCCTCAACCAGAGTAACCTTCAGGTACACAGGGCTTGCCTGGGGCTCTGCAGCAGGCACTGCAAATGCAGTTGTTGCAGTGAGGGAGGTTTAAAATCCGGAGAAAAGCAGCTGGAGCCCGACCATGGGATGGATTGCAGTGGGATAGCCCTGGTGTTCCGGCGCTGTCTGTAGGAACATGTGCATGCTGTGCTGGAGAGGAGCAGTGGTCTTGGAAAAAGCAGATGCTGTTTGTTTGTTTGGGTTGAATGAAGTTGGGGTTTTGTTTTGGTTTTTGTTTGGAATGTTTCTTAGGGGGAAAAAAAACACAAACCCAGCTTTATTTTAAATGCTGGTAAAATGGAATTTTTGGAAGAAAAGTAGTCAACATGGGAATAACTTCAGTTGTCTGTTTAAATGGAAGGTTGGACTGTCTTTGAAATGACTGTACAAATCCCTGAATGTATTTAGAATGCCTGTCAGTTTTAGGGGCATGCTCAGGCTTCTGGACAAGGCTTTTCCTTCACTGTTTGGGTCAGTGGATTTCACTAAGCAGCTTTTCTTGATCATGTGCCAACTTTGGAATTTAATGTACTCTCCCCCTTTCTCAGCCTGACCCACAGCACAGTGGATTTGCTTTTCATTCTGACGCTGTGACCTTGCTTTGGCACCGAGCTTCGGAAGATGACTTTCCCAGAGTATCTGCAATCTACACTTTCTTTTTTCTTTTGTTTGTTTATTTTAATTGAAATGGACATTATTAATAATTTTTGTGCTGCTGCCGCACACAGCCGATCCATTAGAAGAAGATAGATTTGCAAATGCCCTGCATTCAGCCTGTGTGCTCTGGAAAAGAGTTTGTGTTTCCAGATTGCTCAGGTGAGGGGTCTGAAATAGCTCCTGTCCAGGGACTGAGCTGCTGGATGTGGATCCCAGTGCATTCATGGGAAGAGAGGCTGGTAGGAACAGCATGGAAGAGATCTGTAGAGTCAGGATTTGCATGGAGAAAGAGGATAGGGAAAAGCTGATCCCTTTTCTAGCCCAAGAACTACAGGGCAACAAGTGACCCCAGGAAATGGCAGATTTGCAGAGAAACTGAAGAGGGCTGGTCACGCAGCACGTTTCAGCTTTGTCATGTGCAGTTATGAGTACTAAAAGTCTGCTTGGATTAAAGAACGACTCGGATGAATTCTGCAATTGGATGGACATGGAGATGGATGCAGAACTGTTAAATGTGAAGACATCTCTGTTACAAGAAGCCTCTGAGTTATTCATAGCGCGTGCCGTGCTCTGTCCTGGGAGACAGGATTGTTGAGTGATCCTGTTCTCTTCACCCCCTGCCAGGCATTCTGTGTTGGAAATGAGACACTGGCTGTAGATGGACAGTTGGCCTGACCTTGCATGGCTGTGCTGAGTGTATTCCTATCCTGCTGCTGTTGGGGACCTCTTGGCAGCACTGAGAAATTGGGATTGATGATGTGGGACCATTCAAACAAGACACGTGTCAGTGCAGTCAGCTCTGAAACAAACCCCACTGGCCTGATCAAATACATGGACACCGGATCCTGAAACAGTAACCCCTAAAAATAACCAAGGGGTCATTGTGAAACTCAGCAAGTGCTTTCAGTGCAATGCTGAGATAGAAATCAGTGACTGCAGCACTTTGAGTGAGACCCAGGTGTAATAAGGGGTGTTACCCGCCATGCAGAGTGTTGGACCGTCCATCTGCACATCTGTGTACACAGCTATACATCCATGTAAGGCTGGGCTGTACATCTGTCTATACACCTGGATCCACGTTCAGTCTCCCTGGTATCCCCCTGGAGACCTTCCTCCTGTGGCCATACCCCAGCCCTTTTTGTGCCCAGGGCCAGAGACAGTTGCCTGGCTTGTACTGTGGCTGCACAGTGGATCAGGCGCTGCAAATTCTGTCCTAGGTGTGTTTGTAAGGTTTATTTTTGTCCATTCCAAATGCACACAGGGAATGCTGAACAGCTTTGTCTTAACTGCATACTTGTGTTGGGAAGTGAACATGTTAGTAAGTAAAAAAGGGATTTGCTCCTCAGTACTCTGCTGTCACCCTTGAAAATCACCTGGCTTTTAAATACTGAATGCACTTGCACAATTATTTTATGTGCATTTTGGTACTTTGCTATTTCAAGAACTCTGTAACTGCTGAAGTTGGGAGAAAGTAGAGCGATCCATTGCTCTGTCAGGATGTGAATTACATCTTCAGATATTCCCTGAGGTATTCTCCTTGCCTAAAGTACAAAGCTGAGTCAACTTTAGGGATAATTGTAAGGCCACAGGCTTGCCCCTCTGTGTGTGCGTGCCCTGTCCTCCTCTTTGCCATGTGTCCACACTGCTGGGGATCCCATGCTCTGCTCTGAAAGGGTGGCGGTGAAATCAGTGAGGGATACATGGATGTTGCCACTGTCTGTGGCAATTTTGGAAGGGAAACTGAAAACAGGTTTAATTGGAAAGTCTTTCACGGGGCGCAGCGTTCTTGCAGCAGCTTTTGGGCAATACAGGTGTGATTCATTCTCTGCCTTCCTGGCTTGGCCTCACTTTGATAAAGCTGCAGATCTCACATGTTTGTGTTCTTTACACCCAGAGCTCCTGCTCACAAAGGCAGCTCTGTAGGTGGACAGGAAGGAAGTTGAGTGTTGTTGGCTCAGTGAAGAGATGCTGCAAAAAGAGTTTCTAGTTCAGAGGCTCTGAAATTTGCCCTTGAAGGCACGGAAAGGAGGCTCTTGAGTTATGAGGAATGGGTTGTGTTTGGTCACCCCAGAGCTGTGGCTCTGTCTTTGTCAGCTGGTCCCTGATTAGAGCATCTCAGGAAGACTTTGTGATCCTCAGGGGTAAATGCTGGAGCTCTCTGCATTGCACCAAGGGAGTGTTTCAGGTATGAGAAATCTGCTTTGCTTTCTGACCTCACCGTGAAGACAAGTTTGCCCATTTTGTGTGCAAGACCTTTCAGTGAATCTCATAGCAGATTTACCCTCACCAAGTGCAGGCAGGAGTTCCCCCAATACTCTCACTATTCCCATCTTATAGGAAGTCAGAACAGTTGTATTTGGCCACGCCAGTGGCTCAGGATGGAGGGAAGGAAGGAATTATGTCCCTCTCATGCACAGCACAGCGTCTGTGCACACAGGACCATGGTGCACGTACGAAGGGCATGTCTGTACAGGCTGGGTCATGAATTCCCAGACTTTTGGGGGCCTGTGGTATTTGCTGAAACCCAACCTTCATCCACCTACAGCTGAGCCCTCCCTTTCTGTCGTTCCGGCTCAGCTGAGCAGGGCGCTCCTGGCAGCCGGCCCGGCGTGCGCGACCGAGCCGGCAGCTGGTCTGCAGCTCCTTTTAGATGAGATTCTCCTCTCCCAACCTGATCCAGATCATCCCCCTCTCCCTTTTGTTGACCTATTTCCCCCCTGCCTCCCCCCGCCCCGTTGTGTATCTCTTGCAGTGGTGAGCTTGGCTGTTAGTGCAGCTCCCTGCCCGGAGCAGCTGCAGGGAGCTGTGGGAATATGGTGGAAATGCCATGCGAGGCAGCGCGTGTTTCGGACAACCAGTGCCTAATTTAGGTTGGGAGGGACCTTTGCAGGTTGTCTGGCTCAGCCGCTGTGGCTGGGATAATTCAGGCAGCTCAGGGCCTTGTTTTGTTGAGTGCTGAATGTCTGGAAGGATGGAGGTCCCTTTGCCTCTGCTCCTGGCCTAGGACTTGGCCTCTCTCAGGGAAGAATCCTTGCATGTTAAAGGAAGAGTCTTTGCATGTTAAACTCATTCTGCATTTAAAATAAATGGACTGTGTTAACATTTTTTAGAGCACTAAGCTTTAATTCAGTTCTTCTCCTTTTTAAGTCATGTGTGCCTGCAGAATTAACTGACTGCTCTGTCGATCGTGGTGGGAGAAGAGGCTGGGACACTTGATTTATTTTTTTTGTCCCCTATGGGATCTGTGGCCCAGGACAACGCTGTGAGGGAATGGGATCTGTTGTCCCAGTCAGCACACATGCCTCCCACTGCTGGCTTGCAGTTGTGTGTGTGCTAGAAGAGGAAGAAATGTGGGCTTGTAGTATAATTTAGGTTGGAAAGTACATGTGGAAGTATCTTGAGTATCTGAGCTGATCTTCCTCCAGTGAAATCTATTTTCTCAATTGTTTCTCTGAGCATACACAGTGAAGTAGGTGCTCTGCCAGTCTGATAGAGTTATGTTGTCCCTGTCCTACTGCCTGTGACCTAAACAGGAGGGGAAAACTGCAGGAGAGTGGGCAAGATGACAGCAAGTCACTCTGCTCGCTTTGGCACTTTGGTAACACAGCAGTTTTTATTTAAATACCATATCATTATTATTTATATATGAAAACCACTCTTAGGTCAGGGTTACTGCTAGTTCTCTAATGTTCATGCTGTACTGGTGTTGCTCTGTGCACTGTGTTGTGTTTCTAGAAAATGACTGCATTTAAAAGAGATGAGAAGCAGCAGTGAGAAACGGCCACTTGCTAATTTCTGAAGTGGTAGGTAGGTAGGGCAGTGTGGTGTTTCAGCTTTGGGTGGGCGAGGAAGGCTGCCTGTGAGTCACGAGCTGGTTTTAGAGGGAGGTCAGTGGCTTTTGGTACTGCAGTCACTTAGCTGGTTGGACTGGATCCAGATCTCATTAAGATTTAATTCATAACTGGTTCTTAAGGAATCTGAATCTCGTAGTAGCCTCAGCAAAAACCTTCATGGGAGGCAACTCTCGGACTTGTGCCTGTGGTCTCAGCAGCTGGCTCGAGGTCCTGTGGGCCCGAGGAATGTGCCGTGTCCTCCGAGTGCCGAGTCCCGGCTGGCCGGTGCGGTCACGAGCCGTGACGCCTGAGCCCTGGTGGGGTGCTTTGGGAATCCATCCAACGCGGGGCCTGGGTCCTCAGTCACAGCCTGGAGGAGGGCACAGAGCCCATCTGAGCACGGAGCGTGTCAGGGATGAGCTGGATTCCCTCCTGACTCTGGTTTCTCCCTCTCCCAGGCCTGAGGACAAGCGCGGGACGATGTCGGAGGCGCGGCACGACAGCACGAGCAGTTTACAGCGGAAGAAGCCACCATGGCTGAAACTGGACATCCCGGTGCCAGTGCCTGTGCCAGTGCCAGAGGAGCCCCTCCAGCCTGTGCAGGTACAGAGGGTGGGGCAGGAGCTGGGAAGGAGCTGTGCTGGGAGCCTGTCTGTGCCTGGGGTCTCTGACAGTCCTGGCTGAGAGGGAGGGATCGTGTGATGGCAGGTCATGAGGCCACATAAGACAGGGCAGAGCCTTTGAGTGAATTTATGATCAGCAATTATCTCCCCTTGAGGGGGCTGTGGGAGGGGTGAGGGTGGGTGGCTGATGTGCTCAGATCAGTAGATGTGAGTGTTTGGATGTGGGCATTGTGAAAACTGTCTTGGCTGGGGATATGGGAGTGAGGTATTCAAACAAGCATTTCTTAAGGGGACTGGGGGAGTGGAGGGCTCCTAGACTAACATGAGGGCCTGGAAGTGCTGCAGCTTGTGTTGAAATGAGCTGGGAATGAATCTGACTTATGAATAGCCAAAATAATGACAGGCTTTCATCAGTAACAGCAGAGAAAGAACAGTTACTGGCAACACAAAGCTGTTACCAGCATGAGGAACATAAGAAAACCATGTGGGATGAGAAATAAATAACATTGAAGAGTGCTGAAGCAGAGATGAGGTGATAGGTTAATAGAAACTGTGCAAAGCCTGAGAGTAAAGTGTCCTTATTTGTCCTGGGAATAGGAAAAATATCAGGAATTTCCGCTAAGGTATCAAAAAGGGACGTAGGGGCGAGACCTGGGTAAGATGAATGCTGGCTGCTCATGTGGCCTTGCTGCAGGAACAGAGACTTTGTGCACCCAGGGCAGAGCTGGAGGGCTCTTTCTGCCCATCTCTGTGGGTGGATGCAGGACTGGGTTCAGTCACTTATGTGGAAGAACAGTTTAGCCATCAGAGAAATGCAGGGTTACACAGCTTCCCTGGAGCAGGACTGGGGACAGGCTTGGCTTAAGAGGGAACTTATATTGCACTTGGAATAGCAAGAACTGTCCTCTTCACCGTTCTGTGATCCAGGGACTAAAATGAGCTTTGATTATGTGACAGCTTCTGGCAGATAAACCTGGGTCCTGGTCTCCCCTCGGAAGGAAAAAAATCAGGGGTCAGTCTGCAGGGATTAAAAGGGGAATACAGGCTGTTAGCAGTGCAGGTTGAAAGCTTCTGAATGATTTATTTAAGGCTTTGATGGATGTTCCCTCATCTGAAATCTCTAAATCCAGTTGGGCAACTTCTGGAGAGACTCTGTGCTGGAAGCTGGTGGAGGTGATGTTCTCTGAGGGTCCTGTGTGCACAGCCTGGGATAAGAGTGCATCCTGTGCTCCTTTGGCTTATAACCTGAGTATCTGTGCATGTTTTTACATAAAGCAGCAAAATTGTTAACACTGGTGAAGAACATGAGCTCCCTGGGCTAGAGGGGCTGAAGTAGTCTTGAGGCAGAGAGTGTCTGAGCAGAGAAACAGTAGCTCAGAGCTTCACTTTCCATAGGGATAGACTGCTCAGCCTGCATTGTACAAATGGGAGATGGTGTCTCTGCCAAGCTGATAAAAAATTTAATCCAGAGCAGCCCTGGGGAGGCAGTGGTATGAGCTGAGAACAGCCTGGTGAGTTGTGTTATATTTGGTAGGTCACATTTAGCCAAGGCATGCCAGGAGCTTTCAAACCTGAGTGTGCCCCAGACTATTAGGCTGTAAACAAAGCCGGTGTGCCTTTCCCAGCTTGCTTAGCCTGCAGCAGGCAGCAGCTACAGCACAGACAGACCCACCACAGCTCTCAAGGGCTTTTAATGCAGATCCAGAGTCACCAAATAATCACCTGAGAAGCAAATCCCACTGACTGTGCTTGTAAAGACTGTGACCTTGTGGAGCGGCCCACGAGTGCGCGGTGTGGGTTCCCTCTGGCCAGACCAAAGCCAGGAGGGTGGATGTGTTGCAGGAGCTCATGTAATACCTATTGAACTGCTGAGTGTTCCCCAGCCTGGCTGGCCCCGTAGGGCATCCCTGAGATCACTGACAGCCTCCTGCTTCCCCCCCGGCAGCCGACGCGGCGCCAGGCGTTCCTGCGGAGCGTGAGCATGCCGGCCGACAACAGCCGCGTGCCCTCCCTGCCCCACGACGGGAGGAGACCGGTGCTACAACGACAGACCTCGATCACCCAGACCATCAAGAGGTGAGGCACTGCTTCAGGGCATCCTGCCATCCGCTGCCATCCTTTGTCGTGGATTTACAGTGTTGCTCTTGCCCCCGTTGCCTGGCACACGGGTGGCACAGCAGGGTGTGGTTGGCTCCCGTGTTATCCCTCATGAGCTTGTGGAAGAGTGGGTGCCAATAGGTAGCCCAGTGGTGCTATCTAGCCTGTCTTTAGTACGTGAGGAGACAGGTCCTGGGAGGAAGATGGTGGTGCCAGGACAGTGAGTGGTTCTTGCTGCTTACAGGCAGATTTTGGCTGCCTCGTGCCCCAGGGAAGTGGCTGTTCCTGAGTAACAAGGTGCCTCAGGCCCTGATGTTTAGCTGTGACGGTACAATGTGGTGTGCTGGGCTTGCTTTGGTGCTGTGTCTGAGAGCACATGACTGCTGGGGGAGGCAGAAGCCCATCCTGAGCAGGCCGAGGCTCTCAGCAGCTTGACTCCTGCCAGAGCTCATTGGCAGGTCCTTGACATGGCTCTGAGAGGTGATGGAGAGAAGGGAGAGGCTGCTCTGGTCATCATTTGTCCCCACAACCCTGTGATCTCTGAACCCAGCCAGAGAGCTGGATGCTCCTTCACTCCCCGTGGCAAAGGCTTATCCCAGTTTGTCCAGAGGGAGTGGCTTTCCCAGCTGCTCTCCTGAGATGACTGGTTTGTATCTCTGGCTGTGTGTCAGGCCTGCCCTGGGTCCCAGGAGCATCCCTGGAGCTCCACAGGTCAGGGGTTCTTCCAGCCAGCCAGGCTTCGCCCACTCACAAAGGAGCAGCCTTCCAGCTCTTGGAGAGACTGATCTCCCACGCACTGTTTGCCTTTGCCTCAGATGTTCCCCAGCTGCCTTGGTGGGGAGGCTCTCCCCCAGCAGCTCTTCCTGATCCTGCTGCTCGTGAGGGCTGAGCTGTGAAGCAGTGTCTGCTCTTTTCAGGGCCGTGGGCAGCTCCTGGGCCTGCCTGAGGCTGTCCTTGCACACCTAGACTGCCTCTTCCCTTGCCTCTCTGCCCTTGTCCTGCTCCCTGCCAGGATAATTAGGCAAGAGTGTGTCAAGGGTGAGGGGGTATCCTGGGAAGGTGCTGTGGAGGCACTGACAAGAAGCATTGGGTGGGAGGGCCAGGGTACCCTCCCCAAAAGGTCCTCATGACGTGCAGCTTGTGTGTAGGGGAGGGGGTTGGGGAACTGTGAGACACCTCGGTGCTGGTGTGACGGATTTGCCCCCGGTGCTGCTACACTGTGAGGCAAACAAGACACATGGAGCTACAGTGAGAAGGAAGGAGTGCTGGACAGTGGTGGGGAAGCTCCCACACACTGAGGGAGACGCCAGTGGTGAGCAGACACATGTGACTGTTGCACCAGCAGACCCTGTGACGTGCCTTCCTTCCCAGGCTGGAAGTGCTGGGGCTCAGGCTGGTGGCTGCCTGTGCCTAATGTATATATTTTGTACCCTTGGAAGTACACACAGGGTGCCCCAGAAGAGCACAGTCAGTTTTGGAAGGCCTGGGTGGGGGGGGTCACCTGTACGGGGAGGGTGTTCAGTGCTGGTTTGCAGTGCCCACTTGTACATGGGAGTGATTCATGTGCCTGAGTCAAGGCATCCAACACCATTTCCAGTCTCCTGGGGTGTTCAAGGTGTCCACACGAGGCAGCAGATGTGGCACAGATGGGCTTGTGCACCAGGGAAGACCCTGCCAGGGTCAACCAGAATTGGCCCAGGGCTGTTCCAGTGGCATCAGGCACCTGTATCTAAGTGGATCTGCTGACACCTCCATGGTTTCATACTCTGGTATCCAAAACCAGCCAGTGGGATCTGTAGCTGGGCGTCTGGGCAGAAGAAGGCAGGGGGATTGCAGCACCCCTTCAAGAGCAACGGGAGACATATGTCAAGAGGTGCAGATGCACCAGGAGGATTCAGCAGCCTCCTGGGTTCAAAGATGCTGTTGTGTGGCTTGAGTTTGGTTGTTTCTCTCGGGTCATGCTCTCAGCTGGAGGGCCCTGCCACGGGCAGTGCGGCACAGCCGCTGCCAGTGGGGCTCTGGCAGGAGACAGGGAGGTGCTGGATGCAGGTGGCTGCTCCCCTCCACAGCCCTGCAGGCTCCTTGCCTTCAGCTCTCTTTTCTTTGCAGCAGACAGGTTCGGTTTCAGAGGAGTCAGACCCTGCCCGCTCGCGGGCCCCGGGTGGGCAGGAGTTCCCTGAGAAAGCGGCAGTCCCTGCCCCGATCGTTTTTCAGGTACTGGTGGCACTGAGTGTGAAACCCACCCCTGCATGTGTGTGCAAGGGCTGTTGTGAACTGCACAGGCTCTGGCTGTTGCTGAGACCCTGCTGAGACCGTGTTGGCTTCCCAGGAGGTCTGCGAGCAGGCGGAGTGAGAAAGTTCATGAGTGCTGCTAACAAAAACCAAGTGTCACTCCTACTAAACGTGTAGGCAGCTGTCAGTAAGTAGCATGGACTAACAAGCTGTCCACCCGCCAGCCTCACTCCCTCCTGCCTTTCCTAACAAGCTGTCAACCTCCTGGTGTTCACCGAAGCTGGAATTTCTCCCCAGGGCAGCCACAGCCTGGCCTGCCTTTGCTGGGCTATCAGTGCAATGTGGGGCTGTGCATATGTTGGCCCCAAAGCCTCCTTGGGGCAGCAGGGGAAGGAGTGGAGGCAGCACTGAACAGATGATGCTATCATGTCGTTGCAGATGGGGCTCAGAGCTGGTGAATGGAATAGAGTGTGTCCACTCTTACCCTGTTGACATCGTGGCTTTTTCTAATCCAGTTGTGACTGCCTTTCTTTTTGAGGTGGTCTTAGCACCAAGGAGATGAGCCATTCCAGGAGTCCAGGGCCCACTGACCACCAGCCTGAGTCTGGAGCTCAGTAAACTTTTAAATCAGACAGACAATGTGATTTTGTGTGTGGCAGGGACTGGACTTAATGCCCAGGAGTCCATTCCTGTCCCACCTTTCTCACTGCTGCCCTTGGCCAGCTGCCATTCTGGCACTGTGACCACCTTTGGGACTGTTTGTGTTTGGTCTTGAGCTTTCAGGGCTGGTCAGCTCAATGCAACAGAGGAGTGAGACCTGACCTCTGATGTCGGTTGTTACGGAGCTCCAGGGAGTCTGTAGGACATGATGGGGCTCCCCAGCTGAACAGAGGCATTCAGCATCTCCCCAGGGTGCTCCAGGTGCCCTGAACTCTGCAGTCAGCTCTTCTGGACTGTCTTGGCTATGATCAGAGGGCTCTTTGCCTTGGTCCTGGCCCAGTAGTGTTGGCAGTTCAGTCATGGTCCTCGCAGAGCAAACAGCTCCAGTGGTGCTTGTCCTTCCAGGCAAGTGGGAGCGCAGTTTTGGAGGGCTCTGAGGCTGCTGGTGGTGCAATGGGCCATTGCTCATCAGGCTCACGTGGGCACAAATGACCCTCGTGAGGCCCCACGTATGGGCTTGTCCCCCAGCATCACCTTGCTGTTGAAATGCTGGTTACAGCAGTCCATGGGAAGTTCTGTGAGTTGTCAGACTGTTTTGTGGGGTGTGCTGTGCCAGTGAACTGCACAGCCAGAGCCTTACCTCTGTGCTGAGGCCTGGGGAGTCTTGTCAGCTGAGGTGCTGGCCCTGGTCCCTTCTGCTCTGAACAGAGACAGTGATTGCTCTGATGAGATGTGGGAGCAGAGTCGTGCTCCAGTGTATCCCCATCTCTGAGGGCTGGCATTTGGAGACAGTGAGGTCAGGTGAATTCTAGCCACGGTCCATGTGCCTGCTGAAGGGTCTGTTCCGCATCTTTGAGGGAACAGGGAAGGCTGAGGGCAGTGTGTGGTGTTTGCACCTGCAGGTTTCAGCTGGAAGAGCTGTGAGTTTCAAACTCACACCGTTTTGCAGGTGGCAGGTTGATGGTATTTTTGCTCTGTAGGGTGTAAAACCACAGGACCAGTTTCCAGTCTTCAGTGTAGTGTCTCAGTTCCCCTGTATGGCCTTAACTGTACATTTGTCCCACCCTTTACTCCAGTGTGTGTTTTAATACTCACTTTGTGATCTGTGAGGTCTTGCTTCTCGGCAGCTGGAAATCCTGCCCCTGAGCAGGGGGGGCTGAGGCCAGGGCTTTGGGTTTGTCTTGGAAGGACTTTCAGGTTTCAACACCTGGGCCAGTCAGCTGTAGGCTGAGAGAGCTTGTCATCTCCTGAGGATGAATTAACTGTGGTGGGAAAGGCTTGGCAGGGTGTGATGACCTCCGTAGGTTTACGGTAGCAGTTGTCCTGCAGGATTTGAAGTAGGTTTTTAGTCTGATTTATCCTGATCCCTCTCTGCCCTCCTTGGGATTTTGCTTCTGATCCACTGCTCTTCTGTGACAGCAGCCAGCTGGCAGCAAACCTGCCTTGTGGCTGCAAACCTGTGCTCCTGCTTCTGCACCCATTAGAACTGTGTGTGTGTGTGCCTTAGCAGAGATCAGGACCACAGCAAACATTTGCTGTTGATGTCACCTTTGAGGAGGATAGAAATCCTGCAGCATGAGATGGAGAAGTTAGGGATATCCTGGGAGTGTGTGTGTGTGAGGTTGGAGACTGGGAGAGAAGAGTGAATTCTGGAGAAGCTACAGAGCCATGAAACAGTACAGTCCCACAATGGGGACCTAGAGCTGGCCTGAAGATGGTAAGTGTTTGCAAAACATGGTTTTTAAAGTAAAAAAACCCAAAACCTTTCACCAAGTTATTTTCTGAATTTCTGTTCCATCTCTCTTTTCCTTTATTTTTAGAAAAACTCAGAACAAACTGTCCTTTACCCACAGTGAATCTCTCCTGGCATTTGCCTTCTGTCTTAAGAGACAAAATGCTGTTGATGGTTCTGGCCAGCATCTGTCAGGTTGCTAAAACCAGCTGAGGACAAGCTTCAAGATGCTCACGGGGAAGAGCCTGTCTTTGAATTGGGGTGGGCTGGAAGTGACCACCAGGGGTTGTGTCTCTTCATGTGCACAGTCCAAGCAAACAGAAATGCTTCTGAGCACTTGTCTGCTGGCATCTTTCAGAGGCACAGCAGACTGGTTTGGGGTGAGCAAAGACAGCGACGCGACTCAGAAGTGGCAGAGGAAGAGCCTGCGGCACTGCAGCCTGCGCTACGGGAAGCTGAAACCTCAGGTCATCCGGGAGATGGACCTGCCCAGCCAGGACAATATTTCTCTAACCAGCACAGAGACTCCCCCTCCCCTCTATGTGGGGCCCTGCCAGCTGGGCATGCAAAAGGTGAGTGCCCTGGGACAGAGGCGGGGCCCTCCTGGGTTCCCTGCGCTGTGTCTGTGCCGCTGCCGGAGCTGTGACCTGTCTGCGGGCTGAGCTCTGCCCAGACATGTCTGGGCTCCTTTCTCAGACACTTCTCACGTCTCAGGTACAGTTTGGCAGAGTTCCCCCTCCAGCAGCCTCTCTGGTGTCGTTGGCTGAGATCCCCCAGCTGTGCCAGCAGGAGGCTGAGGGCTGTGTTTGTCGTGCTGGGACTGTGGTGATTACACGTGTGCAGCCTGTCCAGGAGCTCTCAGCTCGGGCTTTTTGCTGCCGTTTTGCAAGGATGAAATTCTGTTGTACAGAGTGGTTTGTATCCTGGACCCAAATGTTCAGTAACAGGACACTTACCCCGAGCAGAACACAGGCCGTAGCACAGCTACTGTCCTCGTAGAAACCTGGTTATGTTTCAGGACTTTGGAAAGTGTCTCTTGCATCAGTGATGCTACAGCTGATGCTCTTGGGTCCTCAGGAATGGTTTTGAGTGCCTGCAGAGGGCACCTGGTAGCCTCCCACTCACTACCTTTAACTGTGACCCCAGCTGAGCACATCTGAACTAACCCACAGTGTCCCAGCCCTTCCCTTTGCTCCTCTCATCAATACTAATCACTGTGGTTGATGACTGTGCTTTAGTGAGCCCCACTGCAGCCTGGGCTAGTGGGAAGCAGTTCCTGCCAAAGCAGGACCTGCAGCCTGGCTGCACCAATGAAGCAGAGGAGAATATTGTGTATTTTTCAATCAGGTTTCGCTTTGTTGTCCTGTTTCCTGGCCAGCTGAAGAGTCTTGCGGTTGGTCTTTGGCCACAGAAATATTGTTGGGCCCTCTGTGGGCTACGTTAAATCAGAACACGGTGTCAGTAGGTGTGTAAGCCCATCAAGCTTCCCGTTGAGTGTTCAGCTGTGGATTAAAAAGGCTCGTAAAACCTTAGGATGAAGCGTAGAGGTCATATGGAAACCACAGCTGTGATGATGTAAGGACAGAGGCAAGGTTTGTAGCTGAAGGCAATATTTTCGTTACGTGGATTCGTATGTTTGGAACAAGTGAGAGCTTTGGCCCGAGGAGTCTCAGAGAAGGGCTTGCAGCTCTTGGAAGCTTGCCTGCTCCATCCAGCTGTTAAGCCTAATTAATGGAAGCAGATGTAAATATACAGTTAAGCTTCAGCAGGATAACAGGATACTGTTTAAGTCCTGAGCTGTCCAGTATCAGGAAGGAAACTAGCTGGAGAAAGAACCTGGCTGTTTTCAGGGATTTCTCAAACTCCTGTTTGGACAGCACATTCTCTGTCTGTAGAGCTCACTGGCACGGGAGAGAGTGAAACCAAGAGCTCGGGAAGGGCTGAAGGAGGTTTGAAGTGTCTGGAACAGTCTGGGTGACAATAGTCAACACCAACAAAAGAGAAAAAAAAAAGGGGAGAGGGAGAGCTTTGAGGACTTAGGCTTGAGTCTTACAACTAGGCCTTAGCTTGCAATAGGCTATTCTGTATCTGTAGAATTGCTTGCTGGTTCTTGGTCAGTCCCAGGAGCCAGGCGCCTGTCACGGCCTCAAGATGTTTGCCTGGAGGGAGGAGGGCTGGGTGGGGAAGGGTCTGGGGGCGAATGGACTGATGGGCTTCTCCCTGCAGATCATAGACCCCCTGGCCCGCGGCCGAGCGTTCCGCATGGCTGAGGACACGGATGGCTGCAGCATCCCCCACACGCCCATCACCCCCGGGGCCACGTCCCTCTGCTCCTTCACCAGCTCCCGCTCCGGCTTCAACCGCCTGCCCCGGCGCCGCAAGCGGGAGTCGGTGGCCAAGATGAGCTTCCGAGCGGCCGCGGCGCTGGTGAAGGTACGGCTGAGGGAAGGGAAGGAGCTGCTGAGAGGGGAGGGTGGGGAGGGCCGTGGTGGAGGGGAGGAAGCCCAGCCACCTCCTGCTCTGTTTCAGCCACGTGTCCGGGAGGCAGGACTGGCAAGAAGCAGGGACGGTGGCTCAGTTTTTGCTTTCCCCTTTTGCTTTCCCTTTTTTTGCCTGGGGCCTTTTTTTGCCAGCAGCCTCAGAGCATTCCAGCAGGTTCACTTCAGTCTGCCTGGACCCTTGGGTGGTTGAACTGCTCCTGATGAGCAGTCACGAACGAGCAGAAATACCCAAGGCTATTACTATACAAGACTTTTTATCCTTCCATGTGTCTGCTTTCCTGGGCCCAGTGACCTTTTTTCTGTGCCCAGTGCCACCCATCACTGTGGTGGTAGAGGAGCCTGGAGATGGGCACCGTGGATTGAGGAGCGGGATCTCACCCATGGGTCTCACCAGGAAGGTGTCACACCTCAAATCTGTTGTGCTCCACACACAAGCATGAGGCAGCTCAGCACCTGGGCTCCCTGTGCTCTGGCTGGGGTGGCCCTGTGTGTGCCTGGCAGTGACCTGGTGCCCCTGTCTCTGGCTCAGGGCCGCTCTGTGAAGGACAGCACGCTCAGGAGGGCTCAGCGGCGCAGCTTCACCCCGGCGAGTTTCCTGGAGGAGGACACGGTGGATTTTCCGGATGAGCTCGACACTTCTTTCTTCGCTCGGGTGAGGGGCAGGTCTGGCCTGGTGCTGACCCCAAAGGCAGGGCAAGACTCCAGTCCTGGCAGGACTGTGTGTTGAAGGCAGCAGCACCGCTTTCTGCCCAGGGCTGGTGCCACAAATGAGGCGTTGGCATCTTCTGATGGGACTTCTGTGTCTCTGCCCAGGAAGGAGTCCTTCATGAGGAGCTCTCTACTTACCCAGATGAAGTGTTTGAGTCTCCATCAGAAGCTGCAATCAAAGATGCTGAGGTGAAACCTCCCGATCAGACAGATCTCACAGGAGGTGCCTTGGACAAAAACGAGCTCGAAAGAAGCCACTTGTTACTGTGAGTATCTTCCTGGAAGTTGCCAAAGCCTAAGATGGGGTGACCAACCCGTTTGGAGTGGGACCTTCTGTTTAGGGGAAGCCATATGAGTGCTGTGGGTGCTTGTGCAGAGCTCAGAGCACTGCAGTGATGGGTTTTCTTTAAAACCAGCTACCCAGGCGTGTGAAAGGTGACTGTGAGGCCACCTCTGCAGTCTCTCCAGCAACTTCCAGCCTCACTTAATGTGTTTCAGAGGTTGTATAATGCCTTGAGGAAACAAAAGACACTTAAAATCAGCTGTGAGGGCGCTGGGGGCCCAGCCTTTGGCTATGGAGAGCGTAGCAAAGACAAGAAGGCTGTTGCCATTGCAACAGTCACCAGTAACTGTTGTGTTGCTCCAAGGAGCAGCGTGAAGCATTGCCGAGTGTCGAGCTGGGCTACATTCCTCACTTGAAACGAGAGAAAGGTGTGGCCCTGATGCTGAGAGCCCTACAAATATGTGGGTGGTACTGTACTGTGTGCCTAGATTTTTTCCACCTGAGTAACTGGTACTGAGTAATTGCTCCGTGTCGTTTCCGAGTCAGCTCTGGCTTAGCTGGCAGCTCACCCCAGCGCAGAGCTCTGCTGGGTGTGAACATGGAGCAGACAGGGAGGTCCTTGTTGTGGTTCTGCTGCTCACAGCCCATCTTGCTGTGTTGGCTCTTTCCCTTCAAGTGTTTCCAAGAACTTGGCTCAGTCGTAACATAAGGGGAAGCAGTGAATGGTGGGAGTTTGTTGTCACTCCTCTGAGACGGTTCCAGTCTTCTTGGCACCGCTTGGATCTCCTCAGATAGCTCTATTGAGGAAAAAACGTTTCTTTTACACTTCAGAGGGCTGTTATCACGGTCATGGTCGGGTGTCCTTCACGTGGCCAGGTGTTTGTTTTGGCACAGGCTCCCAGCCCAGCACAGGAAATCCTGGGAAACAGCACCTGTGTAACACACAAACCACATCAGCTCTGGGGGCAAGTGCAATCTGCACCTTCCGTGGGAGAAGGACTTCCCAAGGGGAAGTTGGGGTGTTAAAATGCATCTTTCTGCAAGGTGCAATGTATTGAAAAGAGCTGAAGTTTCCAGCAGTATTTTGGTTAAAGAGGTTCAGATTCTCCCTCATCCTTGTGCATGCCCATTCTTCAGAGCTGTCACGCTCCCTCCAAGGTGCTCTGGTGATCTTTCAGCAAAAAGTTTGTTGGCTGGTTTTTCTCACCATTTCTAACAACCCCTGTCTGTGTGCAGAGTGGGACGTTTAGGAAGCCAGAGGAGGTAAACTGGATTAGAGCACATGCCAGGGACATGCCAACTCCAGTGCCAGGCAGTGAGGATGGTGAAATGGGAGGTACTTGGGTTTTCTGGTCAGGGTTTGAATGCTCCAGACCTGAACCTCCACACTGCTGTTTAAGAGCAAGGAAATACAAAACTGTCTGGATATGATGGAGACTTACAAAGCAGGTACTATGTAACCTGTGCAACCTTCATCAGATCTATTTTGGTCAAAACACCTCCTTTTAGCTCAGGATGTTTGGGATTTTTATTGTGGTGTTGAAGCCTGGATTTGTTGTTCTGAAAAACGCACACATTGGTACAAATAAAGGCAGGAATAGATTGTGGGAGGTAACAGCTTACAGCATGTGACAGTGCCACTTTCCTGGTCTGGGAAGCTGCTTGGATTCTCCTCTGCCTGATTTGGTGGGCACAGGAGGTTTTACCTGCCAGTCCAATCCCACTGCAGTGCTTTAAAGGTGGGGATTTCCACTGCTGGGCTAAACTCCACTTCCATTTCACAGCAGACAGCAGAGTAAGAGGAATGAAGTAGAGGTGGAAATCGATGTGCCTGAGGCTGCAGATGTGCCTGTTACTGAAACACTTTAAAGCCTTGAGAGCTTCTCAGTGGTGGGGCTTAGTTTGGCACAGCTGCCTTGTGCCACCTTCTGCGTGTCATCCCGTGCTGGCACCGTCCAACCCTTTGACATTCACCTTCCACTTCAGCAGTGGCACAGACAGAGGAACTGCTGCCACCCAAGAGCAGGGGAGGGCTGGTCCCCCATGGCTGTCCTGCTTTTGGTTGCAGCCCCCTGGAGCGCGGCTGGAGGAAGCAGAAGGATGGGGGCCTGGCGCAGCCCAAGGTGCGCTTGCGGCAGGAGGTGGTGAGCGTGAGCCCCCCAAGGCGCGGGCAGCGCATCGCCGTGCCCGTCAGGAAGCTCTTTGCCAAGGAGAAGAGGCCCTACGGGCTGGGCATGGTGGGCAAGCTGACCAACAGGACGTACCGCAAGCGCATCGACAGCTACGTCAAACGGCAGATCGAGGACATGGACGATCACAGGTGAGGCTGCAGGCAGGGGAGGGAGGTGCCCAGCACGCCCAGTGGGTGGGTGAGTGCTGCTGCCCTCTGGGGACTCAGGTCACTGCCTCGGGGAGCTGCTGAGACCCCCCCAGTGTGTACCCCTGGAGTACAGGGCCAGCAAGCATCACCGTGTCACCGTGCAGTGAGAGCTCACCTGGCTCCTCACGTTGCTCTGGGTGTCTGGATCTCTGCTGCCTGGAGGGACTGCAGGTCTCTGCCCCACCAGCACTGTCCTGTGATGAACAGGCAGGCTCAGGTATCCCTGTCTCTGATCATTCTCCTAGGGTCATTACTGGCACAGTTTGGCATCAGGCTTCAGTGTTCTCACGGATGTTTTCTTGGGAAAGGGTGGTTGTCTGGTGTAGTGGGGGAGTCAGAGTAAACAGGGTCTGCCTGCCAGCAAGGCCTTAGATCATTGCCTGCAGTCCTGTGCATCCCTAGGTGATCCTAGCCATGTACCCCAGGTTTTAGTGAGGTCCCTGGGGATAAGCAGCAGCTTTTCTCCTGTGTTCTGTGAGTAGGTGCAGTTTGGGTGAGTTTCTGCCTCTGATCTTTTCCCTTTCCTTCCACCCAGGCCTTTCTTCACCTACTGGGTCACCTTTGTGCATTCCCTCATCACCATCCTGGCTGTGTGCATCTACGGCATCGCCCCCGTGGGGTTCTCACAACACGAAACTGTTGATTCAGTAAGTGACTCCCCCTCACTTGCCTGGAGTGTGATTTTGTCTCAGCTTCCAGCTGCTGGCTCTTATGTCATAGTCTTCAGCATAATTGGCTACTTGCCTGAGGGCCTTGATGGCTGAATTCTGGGTGTCCAGCCGTGGGGGGCTGCCTGCAGCGTCTCTGTGAGCCCCCAGACCATCATCTCTCCCTCCTGCAGCCACCTTGCTCTTGACAGCAGATTACATCTGACACAAAGCATGGGGGCTCTTCACAGGCTCTGACTGTGCTGGCAACACTTCCAACAACTTGTTCCCCTCCTGGTGGAGACCAGAAGGATGTTCATGGCAGGGAAATATTTCAAACCTGGGCTAAGTTTTTGCAGCGGTCGCAGGATTTTGCTTCTGCCAGGAGCAAAACTGACCTGTTTGACTTTGAGAGCTGATCCTGAAGCTGTTGGTAGCCTTCCCACACGTTGTTAAAGGTCTCTGGGGTACAGCCATGCCCCTGCTCCGTGCAGGGAATGCCTAGGGAGTTTCTCACCTACGTGTCTGACAGCTTTCAGAGCACTGCCACCAGCACCTGGGCCTGCACTGCCAGCTGGTGCTGCCTGTGCTGCTGAGCTGTGTGAAGCTCCTTGCAGGCTCTCAGGCCACTCCCAGGTCTGCAGGCCTTGGAATTTTTGAAAGCTGAAGTAGCCAGAGAGAGACATTTGAAGAGAAATCTTAAGGTGAAGGTGCCCAAGTCTTGACAGGGTTTTTTACCTGCGATCCTGCAAAAGAGCTGTTTGAGAAACCATGGGCCCAGTCATTGCCTGTGGGGATTTCTGTTCATCCTGGGGGCTGTTTCCACCAGCCCCTGCTGCTTGCCCTGCTGACCCTGTGGGCAGGAGCTCACAGGGCTCTGGCTTTCTCTCCTTGCAGGTCTTGCGGAACAGAGGGGTTTATGAAAACGTCAAGTACGTTCAGCAGGAAAACTTCTGGATCGGCCCCAGCTCAGTGAGTGCTGATGGTGGCACTGTTGGTGGGCAGGTGGGGGACTGTGCACTGCAGTTGTGCCATCCCAGGGACTGGAGCCCTCCCCTGCTTGGAGCTTGGGGATCTGCCATAGCTCTCAGGGAGCAGAGGTGCTCCCAGCCCCAGCCACCCACAGAATGGACTGCCTGGAGGCTGGGATGGACCTGGGCACTCCTGCTTGGCACCCTGTCCCTACAAAGCCAAGCTTGGGGTTAGAGAAAATGCAGGAGTTGTATGGGGTGTGGACAGCTTTCCTGATGCCATTCCACCTGGGAAAGACAAAGATGAAGAAACAATGTCCCAAAGTTTTCTTTCCCAGCCACAGTGCTGTTCTTTCTGGGGCTACGGGCAAGAAAATCCCTGAACTTTTGTTCTGGGCCTGTCTTCCAAGCAAATGCCCAAGTGTGCCTGGTGTGTGTTGGGCTTCATCATGCACGACTTGTCCCTGGTTCTTGAGTCGGGATGGGGCACCCCGTGCAGTCCCCCCAGCCTGCTCTGCCCCTTGGCTGAGCTGGGTATTTCCTTCTCTGCCAGGAGGCCCTGATCCACCTGGGGGCCAAGTTCTCACCGTGCATGAGGCAGGACCAGCAGGTGCACAGCTTCATCAGCGCCAAGAGGGAGAAGGAGAAGCACTCTGCCTGCTGTGTGCGGAACGACAAGTCGGGCTGCGTGCAGACCTCGGAGGAGGAGTGCTCAGTGAGTGCCTGGGCCCCTTCCCTGCTGCCCCTGGTGCTTCTCCCTCCCTGGGCTTCATGTTGGCACCTCTTCTCTCTCCTGCAGTCCACGCTGGCCGTGTGGGTGAAGTGGCCCCATCACCCCAGCACACCGATGCTGGCAGGGAACAAGAGGCAGTTCGGGTCTGTTTGTCATCAGGACCCCAGGTAGGTCCTGCCTGGCCCAGCTGCCATCATGGGGGGACAGGACTGATGATGAGTCAGTCCCAGGCCGGTGGATTGCTGGATGGGACAGCAGCTGCTCTGCAGATCAAGGGATATGGGGCAGTGATGTCCCTGCCTGTCCTGACGACTGCAGGGGAGGCTGAGGCAGAGTATGATCTTATTTCTGTTCACCCTTGATCTCCACTGTTGTTGCTGCCCCACCTGCACAGTGGCTGTTGGGAGCTGTGGGTGCCTTCCTCATCCCACTCCTCCTCCTCACCTGCTCCCCACGCACACAGGGGTGCAGCAGTTCCCAGCACACCTCTGCCCTGCCAGCTGCTGGGTGGCACTGCACACACTCCCTGTGGGCTGAGGTAGAGCTGAGAGCAGCTAAATTGCCACCCTCTGGGTGTGTCCACCTGGAAGGGATCCAGCTGGTTGCTGGGCAGCTGCCTGCTCTCCTGCCTTTGTGCTGCAGCCCTGACTGGAAGGAGGTTATGGCTTTAATGAGCACGGCCTTGGCTGATCTGGGGGACAGAGGGGAGCTGTGGGATGGCAGCCTGGGGACAGGGACAGTGTGGGAATCCTGCCTGGTGCTGGGGAAAGGTATCTCAGGCTGATTGTGCTCTGTTGCTGCAGGGTTTGTGAGCAGCCAGCCTCGATGGAGCCCCACGAGTGGCCAGACGACATCACCAAGTGGCCGGTGAGCATCCTGGGAGGCACAGAGCCTGCAGGGCAACTGGGATATGGCACTGGCATCCCCCTGGGCAGAGCCACAGCTCTGCTGCTGGAAGGGCAGGGCCTCTGCTGCAGCTTCTGCTGCTTGTCACAAGCTCCAGCTCAGGGCAGACATGGTCTGCCTCACCAAGGCTCAGAGCCCTCCAGCAAATTGCCCTGTGCCAACTAAAGCCCTGGGCCCCTGTGCCAACTAAAGCCTTGGGCCCTACCAGGGTAACAGGAGGGTGGAAACCAACTCAGCCTCAGGGCTGGAGAGGAGGTGGCAACTGATGCTGAGGCAGATGGAGTAACAGGCACCATCCTGCTGTCAGAGGGAGGCCTCTGTCTGGGAACTGGCTTCTTCCCAGGGGGCTGTTTTGATTTTATCCATGCAACTAGCAAAGCTGTGGCTGTCTGACTGCAGCCTGTTGTTGTTTTCCAGATCTGCACAAAAAACAGTGCTGGGAATTACACCAACCACCTCCACATGGACTGTGTGATTACAGGCCGGCCCTGCTGCATTGGGACCAAAGGAAGGTAAGGAGTTCTGCCTGTATGGAGGGGCTGGGTGTTGGGGTGAGACACAGGGGGTCTTTTCAGGTTGTAGACACAGCCATTTGTCCTCCTTGTCCTTTCCACACACAGCCCAGAGCCCTGCTGGGAAGGGGAGTTGGACAGAGAGCCAGGACAGGTCTCCCAGACGGAGCAGGACTCTGGGATGAGCAGGAGATAACAGCCAGCATGAGTCCTTGGTGCAGCAGGGTATCTCACTCAACTGGTCCTGCAGTTTGGAGGGACTTGGATCATAAGGGATTAAATAATTCTGCTGAGGAGTTCTGCATTTTTCCTTGGGAATGTCCAGCTACACTGGCCCCAACCTGGAGTCCACGAGCACTCAAAGGACATGCCAGGCCCTGGGTTTTCAAAAGAGGAAGATGCTGTTCTTCCTCAGTTGCTCCTGAGCTTGAGTAGTTACCCAGTGCTTGGGCCTGGCTTTCCCTACTGGGGAGAATAATCAGTGCTGTCCCAAAGAGTTTCTTTCTCTGTCCCTGAAGGTCATAACCAGGATGCTCCTGGCCTAGGCTCCTTTCCACTCTGGCAGCTGCAAAGGCACAAGACTCCCTCAGCCTGAGGCAGCTTCCCCAGGCTGTAAATAGCTGTAAATAGCTGAGCTTTAGCATCTGTTTTGGAGCCTCTGTATGCCAGTGTGTGGAGGTGAGGCAGGGTTCCCTGTGGGAGAGGAGCAGGAGGGGTGTGTGGAGAGTGGCACTGGGCTAAATGGGAATGTATTTGTGCCTCTTCTGAGGCACAGCAGCAGCTGAAGGCATCAGTTCTCACAGATGGGATAAGGGGGAATGGTAAGGGCCTGTGAGGACACAGGAGTGATCCACTGTCCGTTCCGCGTGTGACTTGTGCCTCCTGCAGGTGTGAAATAACCTCCCGGGAGTATTGTGAATTTATGCGGGGCTATTTCCATGAGGAGGCAACGCTCTGCTCTCAGGTGAGTGTGGAGCTGGGGGGTTGTATGGCTGCTTTTCTCCCTCCAGTTCCCCTTGCCAGCTTGGCAAGGTCTGAGGGGTGACAGTGCTGCAGCGTGGGTGGCAGTCCTGTGTCCTGTCCCACCCTGAGCCTGCGGGAAGCTGCTGATCCAGACTGGAGTGGCAGAGCTGGCTGCATCTGTCGCTCTTTGGAGGCCAGTTCAGGACTTGGGCTGGCAGCTGTGAAAGCCCAGCACGGGACCAGTGTGTAGGCAGAGGGAGAAGGCACCTGTCCTGCTCTCCATGAGAGAGCAGATGCCTTGGTTGTGTGTGCTGGGCTGGAGAAGGAGCATGAAGCTGCCACAGGGAAGGACTGGGGTCACATGTAACTCGGTGTTGGGACTTGGTTCAGTAGAGAAGCAGGAGGAGCCCCTCTGCCAGAGGTACCTGCAGGCTCTGCCCTGGCCTTGGTGAAGGGCCCCTCACATCCCTGCTCCTGCCCTAGGTGCACTGCATGGATGACGTCTGTGGGCTCCTCCCTTTCCTGAATCCAGAAGTCCCCGACCAGTTCTACCGCCTCTGGCTCTCGCTCTTCCTCCACGCTGGGTAAGCAGAGGGGTAAAACTTCTCCTGTCTGGATGGGGGAACCCTCAGCCCTGGGGTTGCTGAGTTGTTCTGGCTGCCCCTTCCCAGGGGACTCAGGGGTGCTGAGCTGTGGTCCCTGCCAAGGTTTACCATCCTGTGTTTGCTGGGAGGGATCAGTGGCGTGGGCAAGGCCAGAGCAGGAGCTCTCAGCAAGGCTGGGGACAGAACACGAGCACAGGGGTGACTTCAGTGGCTGCTGCTTCAGCTCCTGTACTCTGCACTTGGCAGGATCCTGCACTGTCTGGTTTCAGTCTGTTTCCAAATGACGATCCTGCGGGACCTAGAGAAGCTGGCAGGATGGCACCGCATCTCTATCATCTACCTTCTCAGTGGCATCACTGGGAACCTTGCCAGTGCAATATTTCTACCCTACAGAGCAGAGGTGGGTCTCCTGCAGACCAGAGTGCTGGTAACTTGCCCTGAACACAACCCTTCTCTCCACGGCCGTGCCTCTGGGGCAGAGGCAGAGACACCAGAGCTGGCAGATTGGTAGCTAGAAGATGGCACCACACCATCAGCAGCAACACCCCCCAGAGTACCCTGGGCTTTCCCAGTGACTGGCCCGGGCTGGCTGCAGGAACAAAGGTGCCTCATGACAAATGGGGAGCTGCAAGCCCTGGGATAGGAGAGGCCTCAGGCAGGCTGGGAATCGAGTGCTGTAGCTGTGCCAGAGACCCTCCGGTGGCACGAGAGGGGCAAAGGGCAGAGCTCAGCTTTGCCCACAGAAGACTGACTGCATGGCAGGACCATCTTCCAGGTGCTTCCATAAGGAAGAGGGCATGGTGGGTGGGGGGAGCCAGGAGATTGCCTTCAAGGGCTTCTCTTCTCTGGCAACTTAAACCAGACCTGCCCTCCTTAAATACAAAGCCTGTTCTGGGGATTGCTGGCCTCACACCCTGGTCCTAAATCCCACCAGGCCCCTTTACTCCTTGCACCCCATTACAGGGATGAAGTTGAAGACTGTGGTGTCTCTTCCCCAAGAAACACCGAACAGGGAGTTGAGTAACAAGTAACTGATGCCTGGGGCTGGCTGCAGAGGCCAGGGAGATGAGCCCTCACCTTATCTGTACTGCTCTTCTTCTGCAGGTTGGCCCTGCAGGATCCCAGTTTGGGATTCTGGCCTGTCTCTTTGTGGAGCTCTTCCAGAGTTGGCAAATCCTGGCACGCCCATGGAGGGCTTTCTTCAAGCTGCTGGCTGTGGTGCTCTTTCTTTTTGCCTTTGGCCTCCTGCCCTGGATTGATAATTTCGCTCACATTTCAGGATTTATCAGCGGTTTCTTCCTCTCCTTTGCCTTCCTGCCCTACATTAGCTTTGGGAAGTTTGATTTATATAGGAAACGATGCCAAATTATAGTTTTCCAGCTCATCTTCATTGCACTCTTCTCAGGACTCGTGATTCTGTTCTATTTCTACCCCATCAAGTGCGAGTGGTGCGAGTTCCTCACTTGTATACCATTCACAGACAAATTCTGCGAGAAGTACGACCTGGACGCACAGCTCCACTGAAAGGCAAAGGCTGGCTTCTCGAGCAGGCCCTGGAGATGGACTGTCTTTGCATTTGCTGTGCCAGTTCCATGGGGACAAAGCCTCTAATCCAATGACACTTCTAACCCTGCCCGTGGTTAATTTAAACTGTCTCCTTAGCACTTGGCAGGCATGTTTCTTGCCTTATCTCAGAAGACTCTGAAAACAGAACGTTTGTGCCTTGTTCAATTGTATTGAACCTTTTCTGCTGCCATTATTTTTATTACACTAGTTTAAATACTACATTTTTAACCAGAGTTGTTTACTACTGCTAAGGTGGTGATTAAACAGTGAGGTAGCGTTTTAGCTACTGTTAATTGTTCTGCATAGTCTGTGCCTGCGTTTGTTACTTTATCTCACTTACACCGTTCCCTGTCCCAGGAGAATCAATCCCCTTTGAGCACCAAAACCAGCCAGATGCAGATCTGCAGCTGGAAATAGGGGCCTGAAAAGCCTCAGAAAACTAGAAGGTCTCTTTAATCCCTGCAAGTGCATTCCGCATACAAACAGCAACCACAAAAAACATGTGAGAATGTCCAGTCAGTGGAGTTTGCTCCTCTTCAGAGTCTTCAACCTTCTCCTCCGGGAAAGTGCTGAATCCACAGTCTGGTCCTGGTAGGGCTGGTTTGTCTGCTCTCTCTCTGTTAAGGGAAGAAAATATTTGGCAGTGACAATGGTCAGTGCATACTGGGCTCTCACCACCACACTGCCCTGACCGTCCAGGAAGGATCAGCCGGTGCCACGGGTGGTCACAGGCACCCTGGAGCAAGTGGCTGCTCCGAGGGCACACATGTGCACGTTGCAAATGTTGAAAGAAGAAGAAAAGGTTACTGCGGTCACAAAGCAACAGTTTCTAACCCAGCTACCCCAGCAGCAAAACAAAAACCCAAGGGTTTGCACAAGCTGCTCTTCCCACTGGTTTTTTCGGCCCCATGAGTGTGTTTTTAGAGACACAGTTTTAAACTTACTAAGCTTGAGAGTCTTGGCCACATCTTGTGTTTGCATGCACAACTTTCTAAAAATAGCAGTATAATACCAGAATTATTTCTACATGAGTTGCAAGCAGGTAAATTACCTGTGGCTACCAGTGCTTCCTGTGCTGGAAGTGTTCTTAAAGGCAGCAGCTGCACAAAGTATTATGACAAAAAGTTGCCCAGTGATGTGTCCTGTCTCCTGAGAACAATGAATCAGCTGAACTCAAGTTTCTATAAACCAGAAAATGGACAGACTGGGAGTCAAAAATTACAGGCTGTGAAAGCTGAGGTCCCTTTCCTAATTCCTCATAGCCTGCAGTAATTGAGAAGAATGGCTCAGTACACTGTGGCACAGCAGAGAACATGCTGAGTGTGCTCGTTGCCTTTGCTGGGAGCACCAGAGGGACATTTCTGTTGGCTGCAGGTGCTCAGAGTGGCACAGGAGTGGGAGGAGCAGGCTGGGGGAGCAGGCACTCAGGGAGGCTCACAGAAGGACCTGAGTGACCTGGTGATGACCATCATCTGTCATACAGGCACCTTCCTCCTCCCAGGGATTCATCAGCATCCAGCCATGCTCCTGACAGCGATTCCCGGACATTTAAGAAGCCTAAAAGAAAGCAATGCCCTAGAAGCAATCCCAGCAAAGGAACACCATGTTTAATGAGTCTCAGGACACTGTGGGAGCAGGTTCAGAGTCTAAACATGAAGTAAAGTTAGAGACCACTGCAAGCAGTAAGATTTCCCCACTGCTGCTCCCATTTTGTGTTAATTGAAGCAGCTGAATTATCACTCCTACCCCGAGAGGAGCACCAACACCAGCACCAGGATATGGAAACAGGCCACAGCCTCGTGCAGAAATGCTCTGCCATACAGTGGAGAGCAGCAACAGCAGCTGCTCCGAGCCTGAACACCACAGCCCAGGGAAGAAGACGAAGAACGGGGAGCTCTTAATGCACATTGAGGACTTACCCAACAGGTCACTTCCGAAGCTTCTTTATGAAGCAGACCTCGTCCCTGTTCCTGATGCCATACCTGAACAGAGAGTTATGCTGTTATATGCCAGTTTCCAGGAAAAACAACTTTTGAAATCCTATAGTGTCCTCTTTCTCAGGGGCAGACGGACTCCTACGATCATGGGACACATTAAAAACCTCACATGCTGCCAGCCCTGAAGGATCTGATCATCTGCCTTTACCTCCAACCACCCCTTAAATGCAACATCTGTCACCCACTGCTGTCTTCCAAGGTCAGCTTTGCTGTCTTGCTAAATTTGTAGTACTTCAGACCACCTTTTCTCACTGATGTGCACATGGGCTGGCACACCCAGCACTGCTGTATGAACAGCAGAATGCTTGAAAGTGCCTCATCCCTCCTCATTCCCAGGAACGGGCACGGAATGTGGGAGCCACCTGCCAGTGTTGTTACCAGATTGTCTCTGAGAGGTGGTCCAGAGAACAACACACATATCCTCCGTTTGCTCTTTGCTTGGCACTCTCCATGGATGTCAAGGGGTTGGAATGGACTTTAGAGATCATCCAGTCCCAACACCCCTGGGCCACGTGCAGGGACACCTCCCACTAGACCAGGTTCCTCAAGGCCTTGTCCAACCTCCCTGGGCAAGCTGTGCCAATCCTTGTTCCCTCCTCCTCTGTTCTACATCAGCAGCTCTGCAAGGCTAAGTATAATCTATTCTGCAGGCGTTTGGGATGGGTGACCAAGGGCTGCAAGTCCCAGTGCCTGGAGGGGGTCTGAACTGGATAAGCCCAGCACAGGATGGTGATGGCTGAGGAACCCCCCAAGGCCATGCTGTCCTGCAGAGAGCATCTGAGTCTCCCTGTCCCACCTTCCAGCCAATTCCCAGCGCAGGACCCACCTGAGCCAGGGCACAGCCTTAGCCCTGCCTGTGGGGATGCGCAGGGCACCCGCGGGGCCTCTCAGCCCCCCGGAGCACACCCAGTTACTCACTCTCGCAGCTTCTTTCTGTCATCCGCCAGCTTCTCTCCCGCGTAGGTCAAGTGGTACGTCCTCCATATGTACTTCCTGGGGGAAGAGCACTCAGGGGCAGCCACGGGAGAGCGGGACAGGGTTGGGACGCGCTCCAGACCCCGCTCCCGGCCCCGCTCACCAGCTGAGGTGCTGGACACCGCCCTGCCGCGCCTGCCGCAGCTGGAAGTGTCTCCGCAGCGCCTTCTTCAGCTCCAGCACCGAGGCGTTCTGCACCACCACCACGGCTGCGGGGGCACAGCGGGTCAGAGCCCGGTCCATGCCCGGCCCGGCCCGGCCCGCCCGCCCCGCGGCCCCGCACCCACGCACGGTCTCGCCGTCCGCCTTGCAGACCCGCACGGTCATGGCCTGCCCGTACTCCAGCGCCACCTGCGAGCCGATCTCCTCCGCCGTCACCTGCGGGGGCCCGGGGGGTCCGTGAGCCCGGACCCCGCCCTGCCCGGCCCGCACCTCCCCGGTCCGGCCCGGCCCGGCCCCACCTGCGGCGGGAGGTCACAGAGCAGCGGGTCCTGCACCAGCCGCGCCAGCGCCGCCTGGAACAGCTCCAGCACCTCGGCGTGCGCCAGCTCCTGAGCCAGCTCCTCCGGCGGCTCCTCCGCCGGCCCCTCCGCCGGCTCCTCCATCTGCTCCTCCACCGCCGCCATCGCCGGAAGGGGCGGGCGGCGCGGCGGAACCCGCGATGCTGCTCTTCTGCCCGGCCTGCGGGAACGTGCTGGTGGCCGAGGAGGGGCCGCGCTGCCACCGCTTCGCCTGCACCACCTGCCCCTACGTGCGCAATGTCACCAGGAAGGTACCGGGGGCGCGGGGCTGGGGGGGTGAGCCGGGGCTGGGGGGGTGAGCCGGGGCTGGGGGGGTGAGCCGGGGCTGAGGGGGTGAGCCGGGGCTGGGGGGTTCCCGGTCCCCGCTGAGGCGCTGGCCGTGCCCGCAGGTGACCAGCAGGAAGTACCCGCGGCTGAAGGAGGTGGACGATGTGCTGGGCGGCGCCGCGGCCTGGGAGAACGTGGACTCCACGGCAGGTAGGGCCGGGCCGGGCCGGGGGGCGGCCGGGCGGGGGCCGGGTCCGCCCTGCCCTGCGCTGCCCTCACGGCCGCTCTCCGTGCCCCGCAGAGCCGTGCCCCAAGTGCGAGCACCCCCGCGCCTACTTCATGCAGATCCAGACGCGCTCGGCCGACGAGCCCATGACCACGTTCTACAAGTGCTGCAACCCGCAGTGCGGGCACCGCTGGCGGGACTGAGGGGGCTGCGGGGATGGGCCGCGGGGGTCCCGCTCCTGCAATAAAACCTGGCCCTGGGTGCGCGGGACCGTCTGCTGCGTGCTTGCTTTAAACCAGCTCTGAGCCGCCGTGCCCGGCTGGGAACAACAGGCTCCGACAGCGTGTTTTGCCTGCGCGGGGCCCTCAATTCACACAGTGCAGGGGTTCTGCTGAAAGCACACTGCGTGACACTCGTGCCCTGCACGCCGAGGAACCGGTGTTTGAAACGCAGATAGGCCTGAAGGTGAACCAGCTGAGGGATGGGGATGAAAGCCCAGCACTGAGCCTGCTGCTGTGCCACGGCACAGAGGCCAAAGCAAAGGTAAAGAGTTTCCTCTCTGTGCTACAGATTTTTTTACTGATCAGCTGATAAAAATAGCAGAGGGATTTTGACGTAGCAAAGGAAACTGCCTGTTGAAATAAAATTCAGCACCTGTAAAGGCAGAATTGTGAACGTGTACACACAGCTTTAGTATTCAGAGCTAGGGAGTGTAGCGGCAAACCAAGCTGTTTGCATATTATGTAGGGCAATGAGCATTTGTTCTTAGAGACCCCCAGTCTTTCAACTGCTTTGAACACAACGGAATCCTTACTGGAAGGGTTTTAAAAGCGTTCAAGATGTACTGTCCAGAATTACCAGATGTTCATCTATAACCCAACAATTTCTCTGTGTAAAACTGTGCTCTCTGTGTTACAGAGAGGAAAAAATCAAAATGGGACCCGTGGAAACACCCCAAGTTAAATCAGGAACTACAGACTATACACCCTGCAGGCAGTTATTGGTGAAAAGATAATATACTTCAAGCAGGATCACGTATTCTGCCTTAACATCAAGCTTTATTCTCAGTTTAAACACATTCAGAAGTAAAAAGGATAAATAACTTAATAAAAAGTTATGGAGCAAAAATTGCAGCGTTTCATCTGCATTAACGCTCCCTCCTACAGGCTGAGCCAATTTGATGTGACTCAGCTTTACCTCCTATACAGGGATAATCTGCACCCACTTATTCCAGTTCACTTCAGAGGGGAACACTCTCCCCAGCCTGAGGGTACAGTCTATCGTGGGCTCGTAGTAGATCGTTGGGGTTTCACTCAGTTTGGGATTGTTGAGTTGTTCTTCCACACCTGGCTGAGAGAAGAGTGACACCGGGGACGGCTTTTTCAGGTAGAATCGTCTGACGCAACCCAGAGTTTCCAGACCCTGCAGAAAAATTGACATATTCTAGTTTGGGCAGTTGTAGAAAAAAAAAAACAAACCAAAACCCAATGAATCCTGCTCTACCTGCAGTGTTCTCAGAAATGCTGGGCAAGTTATACCAAAAGTGGCTTCCCTGGTGCCCCTCAGGGGAAGTCATGCTTACAGGAAGGGCTGCAGTATCACTGCTGTGCTTAAGATTTTGAATTCTTACAGGGAAAAGAAATGTAAATCAAGATTTAATTTCCAAAGTAGCAGTGGTGGCAACCAAAACTTCATGATGGGAAAAAAATGTAAGATAAACTCAGCATTTTCTTGCCATGTACTGTTAAGGATGTGGCCCTTCAGGCAAGTGTGTCAGGACAGAAGGTCTCATTATTTACACACAGCACAGACACATTTCAGTCTGATTCCTACTTCAAAGACTGCCCATCTAGAAGGTATATAAGGAAGAAAATTAGGAACACTGGGATTATCTATGGTGATTGGGGGTTGGAACCAGATGATCTTTGAGGTCCCTTCCAACCCAAACCATTCTGTGGTCCTATGATTAATGCTGCATTAAACAGCCATTTAGTATTTCACAGTGATGAGCCCCCACTCTTCAGTAACCACCTAAAATTGCAACTCCCTGTACACCCATTTCAGAAGCAAGCTCAAATTCTGAACTCAGTAACAGGGTGATTCCAAGGATGGGTAAATCAGGCTTCCCTCCTTCCTCACTGTGAACACTGACTTGCTCTGGCTTTGGTTCATTTACACCAAAGGGAGAAGAAGGTGGTTTTTCACGGCTCATTCACACTCCCGTTTTCCTGGGACTCCCAGCAATGGATCTGCTGGCTCTTGGTGTGGGAGCCGAGCCGGGTTGAAGCTCCCAGAGTGGCTCAGGTACCTGCAGGATCTCCAGCACAGCCACGGGCTGCAGCACCCCGCTGTAATGCTGCAGCAGCGCCGCCTGCGTCAGGCCTGGCTTGGTCATGACGTGATAGAGCACAGCTTCCATCATCCCCTTGCACACAGGCTTGTTCAGAGTCCCATCCACGATCCTCCACGGCCTCCCAATGAAGCAGACATCCTCACAGGCCCTGCAGAACACAATTAAAGCTCAGCTCTGTCAGGAGTTCGTCTGCTTAAGAGTTCCCATCAGACTTTCTGCATTACAGAGACTCTCGGTACATCCACTGCAGTGTTTGCTCACAGGTGGAAATCCTGTGGCTGCCCTGAGCAGGGACTGGTGCTGATCTACCACACAGCTCCAGACCCGCAGGGTTTCACTAGGGGTTCACCACTTTTAGCACCATTACACACCCAGCAGTTACCCTGAGTCTCTGACCAGGAGAGCTTTGTTTGGTATTGGCTCTGATACCCTCCAAAAGTTGTCCAAGATCTGCTTCAATCTGCAACAGTGCTCTGATAGGAAAGGAATTCCTCATTTTTAGTAGCGTTGTGGAGTCAAAAGACAGACCCTGCATGGAAATTCTCATTTCTCACATTGCAGTTTCTCCAGGCCTTTCCTGTGCACCTGAAAGTTGAGGCTTTCTGGCACTGGACTTATTTGTGAAGTCAAATAATTTTTATTTCCTCTGATATTTGGAACCAGTTGGTTTTGGGGTAAAAACATGTATCAGAGAGATTTTCTCAGCATGCATATCAGCATGAGTAACATGAACAATGGAGGAAGACCTGGGGTTTTTCCATCATCAGTTCTCACTGCCCATCAGAGCATAAAACTAAGGTTTCCAAATCAACTGCTTCCAGTATTATTTTGGGAGTGCCAAGTGTTTAGTTATTCTGAAGACAGCTCTGTTACTCACCACTCCCTGGCTGCCTGGGAGGCATCTGTCATGGAGCTGCCTGGAAAGAAAAGAACACGTATTTTCTAATTAACTCCAACTCCTTATCTAGTGGAAGAAAGAGTAAAAGGTGGCCAAGCTGTAAAGTGCAGCAGCTCTTTAGGAAACCACCTGAGCAAACTGTGCTCAGTTCTGAGGAGCCCTGAGCTGCCCCTGACCTGCCTGCAGCACCTCCTGCCACAACCACATCTCTCTGCTCAAGCACACCTTCTGTGGTTCCCTTCCCAAATCCCAGCAAGGAGCTTCATTCCTACAGGTCTGATGACATGGCTGGAGCCCAGGTGACTGCATGGGCTGAGAATGTCAGAGGGAGCTGTGCAGGGTCTCAGCCTGAGAGCTCCCCCCCTGGGTGTGGTTACCCCAGACTCCTGGGAATGATATGGAAGTTGAGCAGGAGCCCAAGTAGCTGCAGACATGGGAGTGCAAACTCAGGATTCCAGCAGGGCTCAGTTTCAAAGCAAAGGCTGTCTCTCTGCTACTCCCATTACATTATGTCATGGGCTTTAATTAGACACTTACTTAACAGAGGTATTCCTACCATACCCAGAGGGGAACAGCTCTGTCTTAAGCACATGTAAACCCTTCACTGGCCAGTAAGAACCCCATGTTTGATAACAGAACTACTGTTTTTTCTCTCCTGTGTTACAAACTAGTGAAGGAAGTTCAATCCAGAAGAATACTTTGGTAGTTTCATTTAAGAACTGCTGAGGTCTCTGCTGTTTAGACAGTATCAATTTCCTGCAGGAAGGCTCCAGTTAAACAATTCCAAGCTCTGAGAGATGTCAGGGATCAGCCTGCACTGATTCACAGCTGCCTCTGAAAGTGGGTACTGGCAGAGCTTGGCAGGATCCCACACGAGCAGTCAGGCAGTGATTCAGTCTGAAATCAGAGCCCATAGAAACAAAACCAAAATAAAATCCCCCACAAACTACTTAATGTAAAGCTTGGCAAGAACTACTGACTATTAGAAAACAAAACTGGCAGTAAAAAGGAAATGAAAATGGAGTCCAATTGGGTTACAAACGAGGCTGTTAATCCCCCTGGCGTGTGCTGCTTCCTGGTTTAAGGATTTCAGGACTTTCAGCCATGGACATTCCAGCTGTAGGCACACCAGCAGTGCTGTGCTTTCCAGGCTTAGAGATGTCTGGCCTTTGGACTGAAGCCAGACATGAGCAACTTCAGTTCCAAATACATTTTTGAAGAAGAGCAAGCCATGGAAACAAGTTTCTGAGGAAAACCTATTTTTGGAGTAGCTGCAAAGATTTCAGCAAAAGGAACAGGAAGGAATCTCTGAAGGAATCTTTGATGTATTTGAAACTTCCAAGACCTTCCAGAAATTAGTGTTATGCCAATTTGTCTGGGGAAATGACAACCTCTGCCTGGTGTAGCTTCATAAAGGATCTAGGATTTGCTTATAAAATAGCACTAGCCATTTGGGATGAGCTGCTGGTGAGCTGGTCTCTGTATCTTGGATGCAGAGTGCTCCTACATACCTTTGGAGACTCCTGGGTTCTCCTGCAAGTAGGAAAGGTCATCATCCTGCTCACTGGCTGGTTGTTCAGGCTCGGGGATCTCTTTGTTGTGCTCAGTGCTGAGCTCGTTGTTCTCCACTTCAAATTCTTTGTCCTCAGGACAAGGCTGTTCTTGTTCCTTGTGAGTGTCCACATGCACAGCCCCTGGAGCAGGCTCTGGGAGTTCTGGAGCAGACTCTGGGAGTTCAGCTGGGTGTTCTGCCTGCCCTCCCAGGGAACCTGCTTCTTCACCCCCAGTTACAGCTTCCTTTGCTCTACCAGGATCAGCAACACCTGCATCAAAGTTACTTGATGCTCTCTCCAGGCCGCCCTGTGAGCCCTGGCAGAGCTGACTGTCCCCCTCAAGGACATCATTTTCAGTCTTACACCTCTTCCTCGGGGGTTCTTCATCACTGACAGGCTGAGTGTCTTCTCCCTGCTGCTCCTCCTCTCCCTTCCCTGGCTCTGCTGGCAGACACTCCTGTGGT